CCCCCCCCCCCTTCCAAGAACCATTACGCCAATAGAAAACAACAAAAACACAATCGGTGAAACTTTTGAAACCTTAAGTCAGCTAACCTTCAATAATTCCTTAGAATGATTAAATTAATACAAATACACTATACTAAATGCACGAATAATTTAGATACAGTCAAGTCAAGGCCACCATTCAAATAAAGAAAGAGCTGGAAGCTGGCCGGTAATAATCAGATAAAAGTAATGTTATGAAATGCTACTAGCATCAAAGACAAAAATTAGAACTTCAAAAATTCCTTAAAGACAACATAGACATTGCATTAGTAGCGGACACCTGGTTAGCGCCAGCAGACATGTTACGCATCCCTGATTACGAAATTATCAGAAGAGATAGAACTGCCGAAGACGGAAAGACGCCCAGAAGAGGGATATTAATAGCAATATACAAAGAGATTCCAGTTGAAGACACCATACAACCGACAACCACCACCATCGAGACAGCAGCTATCAGAACTAGAACCACACCAAGCCTAACTATTGGCACAGCTTGCACCTCCGCACAACAAAATAACAGCAATTGACGAAATAACAAACGAACACTACGTAATAGGAAGTGACTTTAATGCAAGGCTGTGGAACAATATCACAAGAAATACTAACGGGATAACCTTAAAAGACCATGCTGAGGCAGAAAATTACCAAATACTACATAGTCCTATCTAACATACAAACAACCAAACTGTAACTCCTCCAACAAAGATATATTCCTGATAAATGCCTCACACATATACATAATTAAATCAATAGACGAACTCCCCTCGAACCATATCCCGATGATCCTAACAATTCGAACAACTCCAACGCACCATACAATATTTGCACCGAAAGGCCACCTACACCTTCAACACTTCGACCAAAATAAGCACAACAGACATGCAATTACAGAAGTTGATTCGAGGCAGAAACAGATACAGGCGAAAACATCAAAAATGGGCAACCTATTACATAGACTATATCATACTTACAGCACAGATCCAAAAACAAATTTCAGAAATTATAAACAAGATGGCAAAACAGACAAGATTAAAAAAGTAGACCACACACTCTGGCAGACATATAGGATTGCAGGAAGGGGGGCCACCAAATTCCAGCTCAAACACACAAGATCTACTACACAGAAATCGAAACAGCGGAGACCATTGCCAACATATTTGCAGTCACACACAATTCAATGTGCAATATTAAATCCGCACTGGTGAAAGAAATAAACAGACACGCAAAAGACCTAACGGATACAGTCACCATGAAACACATAAACATTTCCCCTCAGTACATATAAAGCATAATTAATAAACTACCAAACAGTAAAGCTTCA